TTGTTATGATGAATTGGTGCGTTGTAGAAATCAAAAAGGTAATTTTGTTCAAATAATTTTAAAAGAACAATACGTCAATTTAAAACATTAATGTCAACGCATCAACATCATAGACTACGTCGACTAATCACTGCAGCCCTTCCACATACCATGTCACGACAACAGTAATGACCATAACCAGCACTATCAAAGACCTCATTGCAAAAGTATAATAGAATACAGAACTACTGCAGTTGAGAAAATGCTGATCACAAACCTGCCTAATCTAAAAGCTTGTTCTCTATATTAATTATTAAAAAATGAAAATGAATGAAAATAAAGTGCTTTGAAACATGTCTTGTTATTATTATGAATGCATGAATGAATGTTATGGATTTAAAAATGAAATTAAAATGACGGTTAATAATATATTATGACACAATTTTTATGACCCTGTCTTTCAAAATGACAGACAAGGAGAAAGTCTAATGCAAACTCTGCCTAAAGTGCTGCATCAATAATTCAAACAGACTCGCGTCTGTTACATGCTTCCAGGTCTCATCTTGGCAACTTGAGGGTTAGGCGGCGTTTTTGCAGCGACGCATGCAAAATGGTCCAGTCAGGTTTAGAAATCGATGCTGAGCATCGGGAACTGTGAAGGGCTAAATAATCGGGAGAGAAGACCCGTCGTGAGCGCAGGGAATTCCTCAGAAACCCAGCTTTATAACTCAGCCTCATGGTGCTGAAAACGTACAGCCTGTGAAAACACAGTTAATACAGCCTATGCTGTCTGCCAGTGAAAACACAGTTAATACAGCCTATGCTGTCTGTTTGCACATATGATTGCATATATACATTTAATTTATTTTTAATGTGTATTTATTGTATTTTAAAATTTTCTTAATATTCTTTTTCAGGATGTTCTGATTGTGTATTGCCGTTGCACTCGGACTTGTGTTGCACAGCATGTTTTTTTGTCTGCACTTCACGTAACTTGCTGCTGAATGGACCAGAATTTTCCCCTGGGATGAATTAAGTTAAATTATCACTTAGATGACTCTATAACCCTTTCTTACACGTAAGAAACATTCATATATTTTTGTGCACGCACACACATACACATGCAAACATACACCTCAAAGCAATACTCTCCTGCTCAACATGTCCCAAAAAATACTGAACAGTTTTTAGGTGACACAAAGGCGGTCTTGAGCCTGGTGCAGCCAGGCAGACCCAGAAACCATTCACTTTGTATTGGAATCGTAATTCACCAACTCATTTATCCTCTGAGTGAGTAAAGCCGCAGTTCACTTCAATCAAACTCCTAGACAGCACTGCTCCCAGCATGCTCTTTGCTATCCCAGCCATACACACCGTAATGAGGGAGACCTCTGTCACTCTTCATCCTCATGCCTTCTGCACACTGACAGTGACGGCCAAGCTTCTGGCATCGACGTGGCTCTCATTGGCATTCCTGGGCAGTCTCACATATTCAGGAGCAACAAGCTGCTTATGAAAGGGAACAGTGTATAGCAGCGGCTCTCCCAAATGAGCCAGGAACTGTGGGAATAATCCAGAGTAATCACACAGAGTGAGACCTCAGTGTTATCCTACAGAGTAAGCCCCTAGAGTAGTCACACAGAGTAAGCCCTCAGAGTAATCACACAGAGTAAGCCAACAGAGTAATCACACAGAGTGAGGCCTCAGAATAATCCTACAGAGTAATCCCACAGAATAAATACTCAGAGTAAACCCACAGAATACGCCCACAGCATAAACCCACAAAGTAAGACCTCAGAGTAATCCTACAAAGTAATCCCACAGAGTAAATGCTCCATGTAAACCCATAGAGTAATCCCACAGTGTATGGTCTCACAGTAAGTGCACAGAGCAGCACTAAAGTGACCCATTTTTAAGGCAGACCGAAACACAGTAGGAACAATAAGGCCGAGCTGTGCAGTCTGTGGCCCAGCCTGACAAAGACCTGAACTGGCACCCTTGCTGCTGGGGAATGCAGCCTAACCACCTTGGTTTTAGCTTATGGGGCACCAGTGAATCACCGCCAAGACAATGCACAGCCTGGGGGAAAGCATGCATGCCAATACCGGGAATCAGGGTCGCTTCTTATCCCATGAAGTATGAGTTTAATCCAGCGGCAATATCTCTAAGGAGCTAGATCTGTAATTACCCTTAGCCTTATGAACACTCATTAAGGTTTCAGCCCCCACCCTGCCTTTCTGTGGGGGCGTGGGGGGGCATACTGACCATCTTTCAGGTAATTGTGATTAAAAGACAGACCTAATTTTACAGTCACAGGCAGGCTGAGGATGAAAGGCTGTTTTTAAAGCTATCATGATTCTCCAGCAAAAAAAGGGCATGGTCCTGTAGCGCAGTGTGTGCTAAGCAGCTCTGCAGAGCACTGCCCCAGCCCCATGGTCCTGTAGCGCAGAATGTGCAAAGCAGCTCTGCAGAGCACTGCCCCATCGCCATGGTCCTGTAGCGCAGTGTGTGCTAAGCGGCTCTGCAGAGCACTGCCCCAGCCCCATGGTCCTGTAGCGCAGAGTGTGCTAAGCAGCTCTGCAGAGCACTGCCCCATCGCCATGGTCCTGTAGCTCAGTGTGTGCTAAGCAGCTCTGCAGAGCACTGCCCCATCGCCATGGTCCTGTAGCTCAGTGTGTGCTAAGCAGCCCTGCAGAGCACTGGCAGAGTACATATTTGACTGCCGGATAACTCCATTCTTACCAGCAATAATGTCCAGTTCTGCTCCATTGCAGGAAAAAGTCTGAACCACTGAACAGCTTTTTAATGATGTTCTCCTTCAGAAACCATGCAGCTCTGCAACCAAGCAAGTTGCTTTTTATGGAAAATGCTCTTTGAAGCCAAAAGTGGAGAACTAAATTGAACAAGAATGTCACTTACATTAGTAAGAGCAAAGTCAACGTTTTCCATTTCTGCAAAGGAGGAGTGAAGGAGGGGTGCCAGGAGATGAAAGCATCCATGAGAACACGGTGGCACTTAAACAATCAGATAGTGGTGATGCAACCACCTGGGTTTGGTCACGCTTTCGGCCCTGCTAGTAAGCGTGGGTACCCCTCGGGTACGGCTCGGTTCTTGGTGAGTGGAAAACGGAAATACACTGGACTATTAAATATTCCTGGTGGGGGATAACCCCACCACCAAGCAAACCAAGTCTTACTTGCTGGTCAAAAATTTTAATAGTGACACTTTAATAGTCTTAGCTGCCTTTTGCAGGTTGATTATTCTTTAAGATGGACAATTATATTTTATACCCATGTTATATATACCATATTATATACACCCATGCATTGCTCCCCTGGGTGCTAAATGGTAGCTACCTACTGCTATGTCACATATAGTTTACAGTTTTTTCCAATCATTTTCACACTTGTCTCAATACCATGTCCACTTTTTCACAACACTTCACACAGTGGGCTGTACCAATACACACCTGAGCACATCACTTAACCTTTGGTGCAAAATGCCCTACAACCACCAAAACGTTTCACAATTCACCCAAAAGTGACTCATGCTGCCATAACCATGACAAATGCTGTCAGCCAACAACACTACTGGGGCACTCAATGTTCAATGGGCTAAAAAGCACTAACAACTTTCAGCATTGCAAATTACATATATAAAGTGTGGCTGTATCCTCCAGTTTGGCACAAATTACTGTCATGTTGCATTGTAAAAATAAAATAAACAAGAACTACTTTTGTGTGTAAAAATTGTAATACCAACCAATTCTAAAATGCTGTAATATATTTCATTAGAAATCATGTAGGTGTTTCCGTTTCTTTTTTGCAGTATGTAAATATTTCATTCCTAGCAGAAAATGCCAATCCAAAGATGGCCCCTTTTGTACATATGGCAAATTGGCACTAACCAAACAAATTCCTAGATAGGTTCTTAGCTGAAATTTCAGGCAGTTTCATTCAGCTTTCCAGCTTCAACCATTGTAAAATGCTTGGGGTGATCTAGGGCAGGGGTCTCCAACTCCAGTCCTGGAGAGCTACTGTCCAGTAGGTTTTTCTATCCTACCTGGCTTCTGATGAGTCACACCTATACTCAAGTAAATACCAGGAACAGGTGTGGCTCATCAGAAGCCAGGTAGGATAGAAAACCTTCTGGACAGTAGCTCTCCAGGACCGGACTTGGAGATCTCTGATCTAGGGGGATGGTGATCTAGGTCTAGTAGTTAGGGATCTGGCTGGGCTCCCATTAGGAACCCCAAAAGATTTTGAATTCACTCCCAGGAGGTGCCATCATTGTGCCCCTGAGCAAGGCCCTTGACCCCAACTTGCTCCAGGGGGACTGTCTGTAGATATAGTACTTCACTGTAAGTCGCTGTGTATAAAAGTACCTACTAAATGAATACATGTAAATGTTGTACTGTAATATATGTGTTGCCATACCCACTGTTTTTGCACAGATTACATTGTGTTGCCTTGCAAAAAGGAAAAGGACACTCCATGGCCTCATTCGTATAGATGGTGTAGATGGTAACGAAGCAGCAAACAAAAACAAAATTAGGAAATTTCTGCTAAAAGCACAATTATTTGTGCTAGTGCAAGTGCATAGTGTCCTTTGTCTGTCAAAATGCAGCATGTTTCAATTGACAGTGCTCTAAATTTCATTAGGTTTTGACCTGAAAGTTAACTGTTTTTAACAGATTATCTAAACGTCTGAAAAATCAGCTGTAGTTGTACAAAGTTTTGCTGGTGGCGAACACTGACTGAGAGAAGTATTCATGAAATTTGGGGGAAGTGGTGATTGAATGCATATTGTGTCAAAGCCATGCAAACATATACATAGTTTAGCTCACATGGTCCAATGATATGGTGCATGTGTTAAGTGTTGTGAAAAAGTGGACATGGTATTGAGACACGCGTTAAAATGATTGGAAAAAACTGTAAATGCAGAGGACACATTTCACTGTGGTGTGCAACGATGATACTTTCACTGTTACATTATTTGGCAGATCATTATCTTTGCACCTTAAAAGTGGAGAGTGGTGAGTGGCTCAGCAGGCTGAGTCTCTGTACCTGTGATCAGATGGTCACTAGTTCAAGCCTCAGCAGAGCAATAATGCCCTTAGTCCTCTGCTTGAGAGGTGATGTATGTTGGTTGGCCCTGTGCTGTGATCACACACACACCCAGCTCCCCTGGGTAACTACCTACTGTTATGTCACATGTAGGTTTTCACTTTCACTAATTGCAATTATCCCGCAGATCATTATGTTGACCCCTTAAGGGTAGGTGATCAGAGAATGGATGGTGGCGCGATGCACTAAGTCTCCGTCCCTGTGTTCCGGAGGTCGCTGGTTCGAGCCTCAGCAAAGAGTAATTATTCTATAGTTACGTTATCCGGCAGACCATTATCATGACCCCTTAAGAGAAGGTGGTCGGAGGCGTGAAGCACTAAGTCTCCCTTCCTGTGTTCCGGAGGTTGCTGGTTCGAGCCTCAGCAAAGAGTAACATCCATCTATTATGCTACGTTATCCGGCAGACCATTATGTTGACCCCTTAAGGGTAGGGGGTCGGAGGCTGGATGGTGACGCGACGCACTAAGATCCCCATCCCTGTGTTCCAGAGGTCACTGGTTCGAGCCTCAGCAAAGGCTGGATGGTGGTGAGACGCACTAAGTCACCATCCCATGAAGCATTCTAATATATTTGTGCAAATGACAAATAAAAAGCAAAGAACACAGTTAGGAACTACCCAGGGTGGGGATCCTTACTCAAGGGCCCAAACGTTTTACATATTGCACAGTGTCAGTGCGGTCAGTGACCTCTGAGGGTCACCGTTTGCGAGGCATCACACACAAATTAATGACACGTCTCCATATGTCAGACCTCCGGCACCTTGCTCTCATCCTGGGTGTGCGACACGGACACTCCTTAAATCCAGCTCTTAAAGCATTAGCACACAAAGTAGCATGCAGAATGATGAGTGACAACCCCCTCCCACCCTTACCAAAATGGAGCTTGGCTTCCAAATGCTTCGTGACAGCTTCCAGGACGGAGTCCGCCTGGGGGAGGGGGTTGTCTCCGAGCATGCCAAACCTGGCCGGTTAAAGGGGGGAGGATTGTCTCAATAATGATGCACCACCTTAACACCACAGGTTCTATCAAGGTCTTACCACTTGAGCACCTCCATCTTGCCCTGGTCCCTTCCCAACTTGTCACATACAGCGCCATGGAAAGCTTCAGTGCTGGCTGAAGCTGGAACCCCAATGAGGTGGGAGATGAGATCCTTCTGTGGGAGGGGGCAGAGGCAGATGAGATTCCCTCTTCACGTTTTTTCAAAGATTGCCAGGACTCCACATGACCTGAACTCATGCGTTCATGTAACATTACTTTTTCATTTGTTTAGGAGCAGATACTTAGGATCTTTGAACATGAGGCTTCTTCAGTATCACCTGAAGGTAGAGCTGGGCGATATGGCCTAAAAATAAAATCTCCGATTTTTTTCCACAATAAATCCGATTTTCGATTTTAACCCCTACTCAAAATCAAACTACAGGTGACAAATAAATGGTTCAAAACAAGTTTTAACTTTGTTGTTTTTTTAAAAAAAACCTATAAGTGTAATCTGACAAGCCAAAAAAGATGCCAGATGGAAGACCACGCCATTGTAAACACTTTTAGAAACTTGTAAAAACTTTTAGCATGTTAATGAATCCCGGCTTTTCCACAGTGTATGGGCAGTACGTCTTTTGCAATATACTGTACATCGCGACAGCGTTTGTTGTCGCCTTCCATCGTGCCCCATTCTTATCATATGGCACACAATTCGAAAACGTGTCAGGGACGGTTGCTTGCTTAACTTTGGATGTTGTGCTGGTGCTGCGGCTATTTTCATTTCGCTGGAAGCTGCACTTCTCCCACTCCGCTGCATGCCTCTGCTTTAGGTGCTGAAATAAATTTGTCGTGCTGCTTCCTTTGATTGCAACAGTATTTAAACATACTTTGCAACGGGGACTTGTTTGGTCAGTGTCCTACGGCGCAAAACCGAACCATTGCCATGTTGTTTGTGAATCCGCTACAGTGTTTGAGTGCGCGCGCTAATATACCCGTGAAGGACGGTGCGTCGCATTAGTTCCGCTCTTGGCGCTCGCGTGTAAAATTTAATAAAATCGATTTTCATAAAAACACATCGTCCTGAACTGTAAATTCGAATTAATCGATAAAATCAATTTATCGCCCACCTCTACCTGAAGGGGTGCAGCTATGCAAGGATAAGATGCGCAGAGCAAGTGACAGAGGCCACTGGAAATTACTGAGCAGCTCCTTAAAATTAACATTTACCTGGGCTAGCATGAAAGGAAGCAAACAGCCAATCAGCAGAGTAATTAACGAAACTGAATCCAACACCTCCAGCGTGTACAAGTGTGACCTGCTATTATTCCTTAAGCATCGCCATTTGGTCTTGCCAAATAAGGTTTTCACAAGATGCATTTTTTAATTAAAATGTTACCAGATGAAGAAAACTTAAATGGGTTTGCAGGATTGCCTTAAAAGACCTGGGGTTGGAGGGGGTTTAAAAAAATTCTCACCATATTTAAACTTTCACTCCCCGCACCTGCCGCAGACTCAGGTCTAAACACAAAATCATGAAACAATGACTGCCTTAATGGAGTTTGCCTTTACAGATGGATCAGAACATTTAAGTCTGCTAATGATACGGGTCTGAACCCAAGGATGGAGAGCACCCATCAAAATGCACGAGGACAGGATTAATGCCAAGAGGAAAAACAAAGACAAAATAATAAGAGCAGAAAAGAAAGCTTAAAGATCTCAGGGGAGGAGGGTTAGGCAATTACCAGTAGGAATGAGCCCATTGAAAACGACGTACATAGCTGGTATTATTGTGCGTGCCATGTGGCTAAACATCTCATTAATCCCATACAGGCTGCACTGGTTCTCCTTACAAAGTCATCAAGTAGTTGTAGCCAATTACCATCATCCCCAATGCTGGAGAACAGAGCGCTCCTGCCTTGGGGCCCTCAGTTCCTCTAATTGAATCACACTGAAGTGCATCTCCGGGAGTCAGAGCACATGCTTTTCTCTAGGCTGTGGCCCCCCACTAAATGCCATACTGTGACATCTGAAGCCACCAGACCATGGGGATTTCGAAGAGTTCAGCAACTGGCTAATTTGAGGAAGGTTCTGAAAGGTTCCACAACTGGCTAATTTGAGGGCTAATTCCACAACTGGCTAATTTTGTAAAAAGCCCCAAGATTGCATCTTAATGTTCTGAATGCATAATACAAGTGGACTGATGACATCTTTCAATGTTCTTTTTTTCTCCCAGAAATATATCCCAAGAAGACACCTTTTCTTCAAAGGGCCAGCAGAAAAAAAATGTGGAAGTACAGCTAAATAACAGTGAACAAGATCAGGCAGAAGGTACAAAAACAAGATGGCCTCCTAACATGGGCCAAGTGACAGACAGGGGCATCTCGAGGCTGGCAGACGGTGTGATGAGGACATGCTGAGAGTAGGGAACCTGTTCAATTCTCACATATGCAGTGAGGTACAGAGCACAGAGAATGGGGTGCTAGTGTGCCAGTTCAGACTGGTAACTCCTTCCGATCACAGACACAGGGGCCCAGCTCACTAAGCCACAGGTCCCGCTGCAGTAATAATGCATACATTAATTGTCTGGTTTGTGTAACACAGTGAAGCAAATCGCTGACACCGATTTTGCAGACAAAAGAGCGACTCTCACGTCAGGGTCACCTGCTCTGCTCAGGTGAACCTCATCTCGGTCAGCCCTGGAGCCACTGAATATTAATTTGGGACTTGAATATTAATGTTTCTTCAAGATAATTACATCTGCGGTGATGTGATAGAGGTCTGAGGCCTGAAAGCACTCTGGACAGATGCGCTGGACATTTGACCTTGCTGATCGAGGGCAGTCGCACATGACAACCGTCTGACTCGAAGAGGCGCCGCCTGTCGACTTCAGCACTGGCTCCCTTGCGATTGGTGGCGCTTAATCCCTCTTTCAATCAGAGCCATCTGCAGGATTACGCTGGACCGCATCGTTAGGGGAGCTCTGACCTTTGTGGTATCAGGATCAGGGGAGGCAAGAAGATCACCACGGGACCCGAGACAGGAGCACCTGCTCAGCCCATATGCTACACCTACCATGGCAGGACTGCGAAGGGGGGCACCTCTGGGGGAGCCTCAGCTCTTTTTGCACGTTAGAGGAAGCTTGTGGTTAAGAGATGGCAACACCCTGTACATGGATCTATAGTTTAACCAGCTGATCCTGCAGTGAAACCCGCTAAAGCACTGTGGCATGGTGTGTGGCTCTTTGGGCAAAGCCTCAGGACCTGTGACCGAACCATCGCAAGTTTCAGACTCAGCAGAACGGTCACATGTCCGTGGGCCCCTGGGTGAGACCCTTAAAGTTCAGGAGTGCCGCAAGCTGGCTGACCCTGCAGAGTCAGAAAAAGGCGGATGGAGGGGACATGTCCCCCCCAAAATCAACCCCCCCCCCCCCATCAGTGCATGAAGACAAAACATACTGTATAGCTAACGAGGACTGTAGTTCTATGTCAGACAAAATCATTTTATCATACGGATCAGTTTTTTTTTTTTTGGTTATATTTAGTTGCAAAACTGTACCCTAAACAGTCTCAGTCTTATTTTACATGATGAAATCTTTATGATTCTAAAATTATTTAAATAATAAATTTATTAATTTGTCGGGTCCTCTCATGATGTCCCTATTATTGCATATGTGCCCATTGTGATGTCGCAGAATAGCGTACATCGCACTCCGCCTCTCCGCCTCCGGGCATAAATTCCACACTCCTTCTGAAGCCATTGGCTGTGACATCCCAAGGTTGCTCTCACCTACATATATGTCTGTGTGTCTTCATTCCAAAATTCAGTACATAATATTAGACATTTACATACTATTAGACATTCACTTCTTCATGCCCTTAGGTCTGCTGGAAGCTGCAGCTAACGCTGCGTTTCACTGTGATGACGATAAAGTCCATAATGTCACCTAGCATGGCTGGCTTGGCCCACACTGCCAGATGGATGAACGTCTAACACGATCTACATCTAGCATCTTGGGCAAACTTAACATTACTCAGCAAAGATTCCATCTGCTCCTTTAATGTATATGTATGTTTTATATTTCAATTAATTTTTTTTTAAATTTCTTGATCTGATGTATCTGTTATATAAATAGAACAGTAATTCAGCCATCTGTTGTGTGTCTTTGGGAAATGTTACCCCTAAGATCTCAGACAGCTGTTTCCTATAAAATGTCAAATATGCTCTATCATTGTGTTATAAAATATTTTAAAACGTATCATCACCAGTACTCAGGTAAAACAAATTTTATCCATTTTTACATATATGATGACACATAGAGTAAAATCCCTTTTTTTTTTTTTTACAAGGTTCCATAAACAGATACTTCTCATAAACTGTACAAGGTAATGAAATAAGTACAGAGGACTTCTTTAGTTATCATGTATCCCATTTATATATATATGAGAGAGAGAGAGAGAGAGAGAGAGAGAGGTGAGGATACTTGCGGGGCCCCTGGATCTTCTTTATGGCTGTTAGAGGCCTCGCTCAAGGGCCCAACACAGGTGAGGCTATTCAGCCGAGGATGGGATTCGCACCAAGACTTTCTACAGAGCCGTATAGCTACATGTGTACGTCTGCGTCAATGAAATGTCAAACAGCAAGCCATCTCACAAAAACATGCAGCGGTGGGGGGGAAGGGGGGTTGGGGTGGGGGTGGTGGGGGGGAAGGGGGGTTGTGGTGTCTTTCTTTAGTGTCTCAAAGGCCGTTTTCACAGCCTCCCAACCCATTAATCAAAGTACACAACCTCATTCACCTCCTGCCCCCACCCCACAAAGCACCCTAAAGGCATACTGGAATAATGTGACAGGTACAGATGAAAGAGCCAAGATATTGATTTATTTACAATGTCCTAATGCCTCATTCTGGGGGGGGGGCACATAATAAAGGCTAGATCACTTTAAAGCCATGCAATGCTCTTCCAGCACATTCCAAGCAGGAGAGTCCATCAGTTGTCTGAGGCGTCTTTCATGTTCATCTGCGATACCTTCCCTTAGCTTCCTGACAGCCAGATAACCAAAGTAAAATGAGTGGGAAGAAAGAAACAGCCAAATGTTACAGGAAGGAGCTGGCTGAAATGGGCATGAGCCCATGATGATGATGCTGTAAAGTCACCGGTGTACATTTATCTATCATACATTTTCATCCAAAGTGAGGTATATATTGAGAGAGCAGGGCCTATGGGCCAAGTAGAGATAAAAGATATGATGGTGACACTGATGATGACACACTGCCAACCCTGGGATTCAAACCAACAACATTCTCATCACCGGCACAGTGCCATAACTCTCTAAGCCACACAGCACGCAAAGCAGCGCAAGATCAATGCTGTAAAATCACCCGTATGCACAGGCTGGAGGAGAAGACAGAGATTCACAGATCGACCCAACGCAGACTTCTCCTCTTCACGGAGAGTAGAGCCAGTGAGGGCCTCTGTGTAGGTGTGGGAGATCGTCCTTCTGCAATGAGAGCAGCACAAACCTGCAGGCACACATAGTTCTGTCCCTCCTACACCGGCACAATAAACAGCTAGCAGAAAATAAAAACAACTCAATTACCCTTAATAGTCTGTAAATGTATTACTAGATCTCTGATTAGCATTTAAATTGCAGAGAGCACTCAGCTTACTCTCATGTACAGCGATTTCCATCAGTAATGAGAGTATTTTTAGACAAACATTAATGTGGCTGAGGCTGCCGCTTATGAGCATTTAGGTGACTGTACCCAGGCAGATGTGCCGCTTGGTAAGATCCACCTAATCTGAGTCAGCACTCGTCCCACTCTCCAATCTCCATTCGAGTGGCTCAGTCAGTCCAGTCTCAGTCAGCACTCAACCCACTCATATAGTCTCCATTTCAGTAGCTCAGTCTCCCAGTCTCAGTCAGCACCCGGCCCACTCGGAATCCATACCAGCGGCTCAGTTTCCCAATCTCTGTCAGCACTGAACCCTCACAACTGGTCTCCATCTCAGTGGCTCAGCCTCGCAGTCTCAGTCAGTACCTAGCTCTCTCATCTGGACTCCATTTCAGCTGCTCAGTCCCCCAGGCTTAGTCAGCACCCAGGCCACTCATCTGGTCTCCATTCAAGTGGCTCAGTCTCCCAATCACAGTCAGCACCGAACCCAGTCTTCTGGTCTCTATTTCTGTGGCTCACGGTCCCAGTCTCAGTCAGCACCAGGCCCACTCATCCGGTCTCTGTCCCGGCAGCTCAGCCTCCCAATCTCATCCGGTCACAATCCAT